AGGGTTTAGGGGTTTAGGGTTCCCTTAAAAGGGGTCCATAGGGGTTTAGGGTTTAGGGGTTTAGGGTTTAGGGTTTAGGTTTTAGGGGTTTAGGGGTTCGGGGCTTTGGGTGTCTGTAGGGTTTTGGGGGTTTGGGCTTCAGGGGTTTGTAGGGGTTGAGGGCTTAGCGGTTTAGGCTGTAAGGGTTTAGGGTTATGAGTCACGAAGCCGTGCTGCAGATCGTTCACAGTGCTCCGATGGCTTGCCGCATTGTTCACCTTGCTAGCTCCGAGTGCGTGGTGTGGAGGGCCTGGCCCGCTACGCGAACGTGAGCGTCCGCAAGCGTGCGTTGAATGCAAGGCCATTTTTGGCGTGTCTTCGGACACGTTACTACTGGGTTTATGAGTCAATGAGTATCCTGATCCTAGTGATCACCCAGGTCATCAACCCTAAACCCTAAACCCGTCCATCGAAAAGTCCGTCTATCGTAGATAAAAAAGCCCTAAACCCTGAACCCTAAACCCTACTTTATGGGAAGCCGGCTCAGATTGGGTTTACGCGGCTTTCGGAAAGAAGTTTGCTGAGTCCAAGCCCCCAAAGCCTTCAACCCTGAGTCAAGCGTTTAGGTTTAGGGTTTAGGTGGTTTGGGTTTAGGGTTGAGGGTTCAGGCGCACCAGCGGCGACAGCCAGAAGCGCACACCAAGACTCCAGTAGGTTTCAATGCCTGTGTCCAAAAGCCCAGAGACTCAAAACCCTAAACCCTAAACCCTTAATTAAGCAATCTACCTTAACTAGGTAATCGGAACCCTGAAGTTTTATATTTGCGGTAATGTAGGAACCTGATTAAGAAACCTTAGATCTTTATTAGGGTTCTCTATATAATATGAACCCTATATACTTTGGGGTTATAGGGCCAGGGTTTGTTAGTCAGGTTCCTACATTATATCTCTTAATTGGGGGCTCCATTGTTCGTTCTGCCGGTTTTCAGGATTTCGTGGACTTTACGTTTGGGGCTGTTCACTTGGCGTCTCCGTGCAGAGAGTTCATTGGTTTCTGGCAACCTCAGCGATCTAGTTGCCAACGTAGTCTTACCGGTCCAACTTTTCAATAATCATATGTTACCCTCCCAAATATTAGCCTACAGAACTATTATCTTATAAAGCCAAGTACCTTGTTATTGGGTTCTTTGGACCCTTGGGGTAGAGTAGGACCCTGGAAAGCAGGATCCTGATCTGATGATGAAGAGCCCCACATTCCAGACTTCTTATGCCCAGGGACACCGAATCGACACCATCCGAGCTAGAGGAAGAGGAGACAGCAGATGTGTAGGGTTGAGGGTTCTGGGGTTTGGGATTGCGGTTTACCTATAGTCTCCAATCAATGTAGTTCCTTTTTTGGTTTAACCTATATTTTAAGGATCCTAAAAGGTAACCCCCATAAGGAACTACAATGGAGACTTTAGGTAGGGTTTCGGGGTGAGGATTGAGGGTTTTGGGTTTGGGGATTTGGACTGTTTTTTGCTTGGGTCAGGGCCTAGGGTTTAGGGTTTAGGGTTTAGGGTTTAGGGTTTAGGGTTTAGGGTTTAGGGTTTAGGGTTTAGTCAGGGTTTCGTGTTAATCTCCTTCCACGACGAACCACCAAAGATTAGGAATCCCTTATGGAATCTTGGTAAGGACCTCATTCCAGAAGTGCAGGCTTCCGACGAAGTTTTGACCCTCGACCTCCAAGCTCCTAAGCCCCAAAATCCTAGATTCCGACAACCATTTGTCCTCAGACCACAAGCTTTACGCTTTGAAAGGGTCTCGGTTCTTAAACCTGTAGCTCGAAGCTCCAAAGCTTTCATCGCCAGGTTATATGGGAGTTTCAGAAAATAATAGGGACCGCTGCGTAGAACACAACGAAAAGACGGATCCTCATTATGAAGACCCCTCGAAGGGAGTGCTTCATCTTTAGGTGCGAAACCCTCGAAAAAGCCATAAACAACTCAATATATGGGCAGTTCTCTAAATTAGGGCCCCTTTCTAGATCCCCAATATAGTACGGCACCCTTATAAAAAGGAACCCCAAAAGGGACCCCAGTTTAGAAAACTACCCATATGACCGTAGCACCCGAAAAATACATCGTTCATAGCATGTGAACCCAGCAGGCCCAACAAGAAACCCTAAACCATCCCCAAACCCAAAACCGACAGTTACGGATTTAGGGTTTAGGGTTTAGGGTTTAGGGTTTGGGTTCAGGGTTTAGGGTTTATGGTTTAGGGTTCAGGGTTTAGGGTTTAGTAAGGTTTACCCTAAACCACCCTAAACCAACACTAAACCCTAGAAAGGAATGCCCCATCTTTGAAGCATCTATTTTCGATGTTGCGAGGAGGCCGCTCGCTCAACAACCAACCGCCCGGTTCCGAGCTGCACAAGCCGGTGGAAGGTTTAGTAGGTGTTATTAGGGGTACCCCTTAAAAGGTACCCCTTCTGAACCCTACTTTTGGCTCTCTTAAAAGGGACCTTATTGAGAGGGTCTATATCCCCAAGGGTCCCCCTAATCTGCATAATCCTAGCTCCCGTTTAGGTCTTAGGGTTAAGGGTGCTGGCTTTTTTCAGCGACAATGTTTGTTTTTCTTTTCCCGAAAGCATCGCGAA